TATATACATGCTGACCTTGTCGATGAAATTCCCTTGGCAGTGGCAGTCAGACGCCATATGATGGACCATCAGATGACGTCTGACTGCCACTGCCAAGGGAATTTCATCAACAAGGGCAGCATTTATATAAGAGTAAAGCTATACGCACTCATAAATATCGGCGCATGCCTCGATAAAACAAAATGTACAAGAAAAAAAAAAGAAAAAAAAAAAGCATGACACCGCGCATCGAACCCGCGACCACTTGCGTACAAATCGGACACCTTAACCCCTATGCCATGCCACCTTTTTTTTTTTCTTTAAACAGTTTATTTTTAGTTCGCCCTATGCCATGCCACCGCTTTGGAAACTCGATTTGACTATTCGTTTTAAACGAGATGCTTCGGCTGCAAATGCAATTAAGCCGTCAGCATGTTATGCAAAGCACTCGTACATCACTCGCCGTACTTCAGTTCTACTCACCTGCCATGTAGAGTACTTTCGCGTCGTAGAACGATCCTTTTGTTCGCGCGTCTCCGGCCCAGTAGACCCGGTACACCTGGTCGTCTTCAACTACAACGCTAAAGTCCCTTACACCGTCGGAACTCACAACAGGCTGGGTCTTGTCGAGTAGAAATTCTGCTAAAACATAAGACATTGTAGAGCCCGGGCAGGATCGACAGGTTGGAGCAAGCGGGCAAACAAAACGAGTCAAGAGCGATCGTTCATGAAAGCTCGGCGAAGCCTCTAAGGGCGAAGCGAAGTGTCGTCGTGTCGTGTTCGGCGCTTCGGCGGGCTTCTGATCAAGATTGTCGGTCGATTGGGTGTCATATCTCTAACGTCAGCAGTTTTATGGGCTCACGTCCCGAAATTGTTTTCTCGTGCATAGATTACTTTTCGCATTCATAGATTTGACGAAATAGTGGTATCCGAACGAACTTTACGTCTTTTGACCGTACGTCTGTCTGCACGTCAAAGCTTTTTGACGTACAGTCAGAGACAATCGATGTACAGTCAGAATCGCCACCAAGACATCCTGATGGCATTTCGCGGCGGCCGACTGCCACCAGGAAACCATCAGAAAGCCGACAAGCGGAGTCTGACTGGAGTTTGACTGTCGGTCAGAGTAACTTGTTGGCCAATCAGACATGCTTGAAGTACAGTCAGGCACAGTCAGCGGTCCACTAGAAAACATTGACTGCCAAACAGGGTTACATTGATGGATTTTTCCTTCGGGAACATTGGTAACGGAATACTTTAATTACTCGTTACGTTTTTTCTTTAAATATGAGCATAATAAAGAAGTTCGACTTTGCGGCAGCAATCGGATTAAATAGAAGCTAAATAAGTAATCGCAATAAACATAAGTTGGCTGGAGGTTTGATCCCCGACAACTTTTGTCCTTTTTATAATGTTTTTGTTTGCGTGAATGGAAGGTTCCAGATGACTCGAAAACCTTGTTCTTTGTTCGAGCTAAGACACTTTTAGATACCCCCGCGCTTGCATCAAAAGTTTCGCATGGCTGCTTGAGGCAGTCGCCCTTCCGTCGATGTCAAAGTACAGGGTGCCCCCCAAATTAAATTTACACTTTTATTTTTTTTTTACTGCAAAAATAAACTACGTATCGTCCAACGCTCATTTTCCGCCCAAACGTAGCGCTAGAGGTCCGACCCAGATGCCAAAGTTTCAGCGCGAACCGATATTTTAGTAAAAGGTTATGTGATTTATTTTTTTTTTTTTAAATTTTAAATGGGAGGTGATTGACGAGGCTCTCGAATACATGGAGCTCTATGACACCAGAAACCGAATACGGGTGAAAATGGGCACCATTTTCCCATGGAAATATTTATAAAATCGTTTATAACTTTTGAATGAAATATCGGTTCGCGCTGAAACTTTGTCCTCTGATTCTGACATCTAGCGCTACCTTTGGGCGCAAAATGAGTGGACGGCGATGCATAATTTATTTTTGCGGTAAAAAAAAAGAAAAGGGAAATACTTTTTTTTTGGTGGGGAAAAGGGGGGGGGGGGGGGCACTTTGTATGCACGGTCTTTGTAACTTTATGTTTCTCGGCACGCGTTTGCCACATTAAAGGGGCCATTAAACGAATTTTGGGTTGGGATGAATGATTTTAGATTGGGACTTTTCTAATCGCATATCGTTTAGTTGGCCAAAAGAAAGAAAGAGGCTTGAAAGTCAAAAGCCAGCTTTTCGGTACGAACTAGAGCCACTAAATGAGCTGCGCCTAGAGTATCGGCACTCCGTTCCCCGGCATTGTTGTGGGCGCCGCCATTTTGGCTCGTATGCAGAGCAGACGCAACTGCTGATCGTCATCATTCAGAGGTGCGACTTCCTCAGCATTAGATTCGGTTTTAGGAAGGTCACGCAATATTGCTTTGCTCTGTCACGAACTATTTAAACAGTTGTGGAGGGCGGAAAGGCGTTTCCTGTGATTTCAGATAAAGCTTCAGATAACTGGCAACCATGATTTTACGACACAATATGGCCAAGTGTCGTTACTCTGAAGCGTAGTTTATTTAGTGGCACTAGTACGAACATTTGAATATATAGCGGCCTATTTTGTGCCTTCTTGCCTTCGAAAGCTCTCCGCCTTTTCACTATGATACATCCGCGGTTCCAAAACCGCGTCACCGGCGCCAAACTGACGTCGGCAGAGCCCAGCTGACGGATTCGACACGAGAACTACGTCACTAGGACGTATGCCCTCGTCAACGTTCAATCCGGCGACGAATATTTGGATTCGCGTTCGTGGCCAATGAGTGCCCTGACAGAACTGATTGTCACTGGGGAATGACAAGTTCTATGGTATGCATAAAACGCACGGTGGAAGCTAGGAGTCATTGCACCGGTGCCGAAAAAATGTCACGACCACGTGATTTCACAATTCGCTTTTGAGTTGAGGATTAAAGCTAAGGCGGAAGAAGTAGGAAAATTGTTTCATGACCCCTTTAAACGTTCCCCTTAGTTTTATTATTGAAGTTCGTGTTTTTATTCGAGACAATATTCTGAGTCTTGTGCCGTCATCACAGGTGAGCGGAGACAAAATGAAAGAAGGAAACCTCCAAGAAATCGGTAGACACTGGACGGCCAGTCCTCGATAGAGATCACTACTCACGTTTTGCTTCACTGGGTCAAGACCCTTGACCCATCGTGTGGCTAAAATGATCGTTACACTCCATCTGAAGCTTTATTTGAGATCGCACGAAACGGTGTTTCGTCCTTTAGAAATGCTAAACAGAGACCGCAGCAGGGCAAAACTATGTCGCCTAGGGTTCCCGTCGCCATTCCTAAAGGTCAGGAGGTCGCATTTTCGAATCTTTAACAATCCCCGTAACCTCCTCTATAGTCAGAAAAACTTGCAGTTCGACGACGGAGCCATACAGTACCTGGTCGCAGATTTGGAGCGCGAGGATCTGGTAGCGCAGACAATTCCTCGGGGAGCCTGTAGTCAGCGTACAGCTTTTGCAGCGGCCAGGACCCGAAACATGGCTTTTCAAACCATGGCCTCCGAGATCCCGAAGCGCGCGCGCTTTGGGATTTCGGAGGCTATGTTCAAACTAGACGAGAAAAGAAGCGCGAGCGCGAGGAACGCGAGGAGCACGAGCTGACATTTCATCGCTCGGGACAAGTGTGTTTAGGCGTCTCGCCGCTGCGGGACGCCCGTTACATGCCTCTCCTCTCATCCGTTGTTTTCCGCTCTACCTTTTCACTTTTGGCGGCGGCGTCTCGTGGCGATCTGCCAGGCTTTGTCGGTATAAAGGAGGCTATGCTATCCCCAACTGCGCTCGCTCTGCCCTAAGTACCAATATGGCGGTGCTCACAAGAAAATCAGAGAACGGAGTGCCGCTACTCTAAGATTGGAATATTTAGTGGTTCTAGTCCTTGACAGACAGATTTACTTATAAGAGACAAAAACGAATTAACATCGAGAAGCAGCAAACATATGTTTCGGAATGATTGTGTTCTTGCTCACGACGTCATCGTTGGTGGGTCCCCGACCCGCCCCAATCGGCAGACACGCCAAGCAGGCCTTGTCCTCTCGGAGGTATTGGTCATCTTACCGTAAAACTATGGGCATATGCAGAAATGAAACCGCTTGTTTGTTTTCTGAATCTATTCAATTGTAGGGATAAAAAAAAAATAACTTTCAAAATGAACCGATGCCTGCTTTTCCTCGATCGTTTCGTTTTTCATCCTCTCGACTTTATGGCATCTGTCCGTCTTACTTGGAGCGGAGGACTTGCCGACCGAGCTCGACGCCCTCCATGGCTTCCACGCCCTGCATTCTCTTTCTTCGCCGTCTGGCTGCGAGCCGCGGAGTGCGTGCGGTCCGATGAACGCGAATGAGCGAGGATCCGTGAAAGGGAAGTGAATAGAGGCAGAGATGTTATCTGCTCGCTGACTCATTAAAGTACCGGCAGTGAAAAAAGAGACAAAGTGTGTGTAAGAGATGAACAAAAAGAACAAATAAATAAAAAAAAAGGTCGAACCGAATATGCTCCTGTGATGAAATAAAAGTAATGTAAGAACCTGAAGTTTCACATTTTCACGGTGTTTGGGGGCGGGGCAGAGAAGCTTTAAGGGCGCAATGATTTCACTTGATTTTCGCAAGGTAATGACGTCACGAGAGGGAACCATGGGAGGGCGCCACCAAAGCATCTCGCCGCTAATAGTGCCCGGATATGCCTTTGAAAAGTGGAAATATTTTGGTCCAATTACCACAACAGACACCCAAAAAATTCGCAGATAAATATTCGCTGATAGCGTTAAATGGAAAGCATATCCCCCCCCCCCCCCACACACACACACACCACACAAGAAAAAACAAAACAAAACACTCGTGTCATTTTTCAATAGATATGTATTCAAAGATATACTTTAGTATAACACTAACATAAAGAAATATTCTTCATAGTTCAACAATTAAAACAAACTATAACCAAGTACATGAGATAGGTGACGAACTCGGAATATCGCGCCGCATTTCTTGAATGGCGCATCAGCCTTTAACGTCGGACACCTTCAAATAGGAGGCGACCACGTAGAGGCAGTACGCGTTCAGTTCGTCAAGCTGCGCGGTGAGCGCCGTCCTCCTCTGCGGCCTCAGGCAAACCAGCTCGCCCTTGACCACACCGGTGATCACAAAGTAGTTCTCCAGGATGTACTTGTTCGCTTCACAGACGAGTGAATCAACGGAAAACGCTGACAACCCTTCGGGACGCAAAGAAAGTTCGTGCACGAAGTACTCGTTCCGCCGATATAGCTGGAAGGCTGCCGCAGAGCTGTTGTCCGTCGCAATCTTGAGGACGAACTGGAGTGCGCGGCTCAGGAGGCCGCAGTTCCTTCGCAGACATTAGCTGACACTGAATCCAGCGACGCTAGACGCGGGATAGACAACGGATAGCTTCTGAAGAACTTGATTGGAATACAGGCCACCCACCAGGGTTACAAGGCCGAGTTCGTCCACGGGAGCAGCGTCTAGGATCAAAACGCTGAGCGTTATGTTCTCCACAAGCATCGTGGCAATCGTTCTGCCGAGGCTGACACCGAGTTTGTTAGAACAGTCGCGGAACCTCCAGATGCTTGAGTTGGACGCCAGGCCGCGCACGAGCCACATCAGGGACGTGTTGCGAACCTTGTCCATGACAGTTACCGGGCGGATGGTTGTCGTGACGCGAAGTAGGTTCGCCAAGGCCATGAGACTCCTCAAGCTCAAGACGCTGTCGACTTCGAATGTTCGCACCGATCGGTTGGAGGCCAGGGCGTTGAAAAGAAGACTGGTGTCCAGTGCGTTGGTCTGGATAGAAAGGTCTCGAAGCGTTTCGTGGCATCGCAGCTTTTGCAAGAGTGTCTGCATCGAGCAGGGATACTCCGCGGAAAATTCGATGCCTGCAAGCAATCGGTTGAGCGCCAAGGCTTCGACAAATTCTTTGAATGGCGCCGCTGACCTAAGGCAGCAACCTGGCGTGGCATGAAAGTGCTTCAGCGTCTTCTTGGAGGCGACGAGGCGCGCAAACGCCGCAACCGCTTCTTCAGTGAACAGGCTCCCGTCAATGGAGAGCTCCAGGAGCGTCGGGTTGTTCGTGAGTGAATCAGCGATTGCCACTATACCATCGCTGCGAATGAAACTTCTGCCCATGTCGAGTGTCCGGAGCGTTTTGTTGGACTGGAGCATCCGAGCGAGGAAAACGGCACCGCTGTTATCTAGGTGGTTGCACTGAAGGTCGACGTAGGTCAAGGTGGTGTTCAGCTCAAGGGACGAGGCGATGGCTTGAGCACCTGTGGGACCGATGGAGTTCCCGCCTATCATGAGGAGCTCGAGTGTGCTGTTCGCCGCAAGGGCTTGACCAATTGCAACAGCGCCTTTGTCAATTATCTTCGTCGTGAAGAGGCTCACACTCAGCAACGTCTTGTTGGTCCTCAGCAACTTGGCGAAGCGCTGCGCTCCTCGTACGCCGACCATATTGGAATCGAGCTTC